CTCCCAGCCTCACGCCCGTGATTCCTGGGTGTGTGAACACCCACAGCACCTCGCAGCCAGCCGCCAAGACACTTGAGAATTTCAGGGTGAACTCCGGCCCTGATGTTGAAGGTGCAGAACGCAGGTCTGCAAGCTGAGCTTGCTTCCTGCTTCCAGAAGGATTCCAGTTTGAAATTCCACTGTGTGGTCCTAACTTCCAGCCTCACTACCACGGATCCTGCTGGGATAGACCTTCCTTCCCCTGGGAGCTGTCTCCCACCGGACTGTTTTTCCTCCAGGACTTGCCTCAAAGGCGACAGACCCCACAAAGCCTGGCCCATCTCTCTTTGGGGTGACAAGCCCCTTCTCTGCACTCCTGGTGTCCTGAGTTTGAGCCTCAACTTGGGCTTAATGTATTGTGCCATGTCGTGGGGTACCTGGTTGTCCCCTCCCAGCTCCTGAAGGGCAGGGACGGTTGCCTCCTCTTGGGCCCCTGATGCACCAAAATAAGTAGACTGAGGAAATGCTTGCTGATGGACAGTTATGGCCACTGCTGGGGGTGAGAGCCCTGAGCTTGGTCTTGGTCCACTGTACAGTCAGCCCTTGGCATCAGCAGAATGAGTTCCAGGGCCCACTTCAATGCCTAAATCAGAGGATGCCCGAGGCCCTTGACAAAATGGTGCGGTGTTGCATGGATCCTACTCACATCTTCTGTGTACTGTAAATCATCTCTAGATGACTTACAACACCTGGTATAATGTAAGTGCTGTACAAATAGCTGTTGTGCTGTACTATTTAGGGAATTCATGTGTTTTTGGTTTTTTGTCTTTAAGAGGACCTGTCTAATTATGCACACTTTAGGGCCAACGAAATCTGCCCTTGTCCTCAGTTTCAAAATAAAGACATCGCCCAGTGGGGTATTGCATGAAGCTGGGGTCTTTCTCTGTGGAGCACTTTAGAAAAAGGACACAAGTGGCCAGAGTGGAAAAGACCCACTTCTAGGGTGACTACCTTCTTCTGTCGGATTTCCCTCAAGCAACAGGGAAACAGGGTCCATGAGCTTTTGGGACCCAAGCACAACAACTCTCCAGGGATGGAGTCTGCGACCTGTTCTGGATGGAGCCAGCCTGCTGGTCCTGACCCCACTGTCCCCTGCCAAGCAGGCTCCTGCACAGAGGACTTTAAATTTACTTTCTCTGCTCTCCAGCCCCTAGACTGCCCGGAAATGTACCTGTCAGACGGGGGAACCCTGGGGAGAGGGAGCACCTCCCCTGCCTCTGGCTTTCTCCCAGGCCCCACCTCTGTTCACCCATCCAGGTGGGGCTGAAGTGGAAAGCTTTGTAGTGCTCCTGTTGCCCGCGGGCCTCAGCAGGCCGCCGGCAGGGTGGGGGTGCTCACCAGTTCCAGTTCCCCAGTTCCAAAGGCTGCCTGGCTCCAGTTTCTGGGGACCTAAGGTTCGCAGTGGGGCCTTGAGACTCCTTTGCCGAGTTTGGCATCTGCTGAGAGGTTTTTCATCATTTATGAATGAGCGCTGGCAGCAGCCCCGTGAAGTAGGGCTCGGCTGGAGACGAAGCCTCCTCGAGACTGGGCAGCAAGGCCCAGCTGCAGAGCTGTATCATCTCTGCCCTGGAAAACGCTGTGCGCTCCTGCTGCCTGCGGCCCACACCCCAGAGCGCTTCCTCCTCCCAGTGCAAAGATAGTGTATTTGGGGGTGAGAGGCAGCTTCTCACCCCTGTGGAGCTGGGCCGGGCCTTGTGGCCAGGGGCCCATGATGGTCCATCTGCCTTCACCCCCATGGCTGTGCCAGATGGAGCTCAGTCCTGCACCAGCTCTCCGGTGCCCCTGCTCACACACAGGAAGATTGTCTGCCCTGTCACTCGAGGACAGAAGCATTTGAAGGATGGGGCTTGTTATGGTTGAGAGCTAAAATGTCCCCCAAAAGTCTGAGTCTGGGGTGGTGGTTTGGAAATGTGATTGGATCATAGGGGCTCTATACTGATCAGCAGATGAATCCACTGATGAGTTGATGGCTGTTAGGAGGCGGGACATGGCTGGAGGTGGGTCACTGGGGGCGTGGCCTGGAAGGGTGTGTTCTTGTCTCTGGTTCCTCCCTTTTTAGTCTGCTTTCTGGCTGCCGCGGTTTGAGCCCCTGTCCTCAACCATGCCCTTACATCATACTGTTTTTTTGCCTTAGCCAGCCAACCATGGACTGAACCCTTTGGAACTGAACCAAATAAATCTTGCCTCCTTTAAATTGGGGGTGTCAGGTATTATGTCCCAGCGATGGCGTTGTGATTAATGCAAGGCTAAAGTAAGTGCTCCTCCTCTACCAGGGAACACAGGAGAGAAGGTATGTCAAGCACCTGGCTCTGTGTGTGTGTGTGTGTGTGTGTGTGTGTGTGTGTGTGTGCCTCGAATGAGCCCCTACCCCTTGGCCTTGGATGGAGGTCCTATAATTATCCTGGCTGTCCCAAGCAGGAAAGAGAGGTCCTGTGAGGGGTTAAGCAACTGCTGCACTGTGAAGCACATCAGCCAGGTGTTGCGTGAGCAAAAAGTGTATGCTTTGGAGCCAGGTACAGTCGGATTCAAACCCTACTGTACACACACTCCGTCACTTCCTGGGGCCTCAGTTTCCTTTTCTGTGAAATGGGAACAGCAGTCCCCCCCACTTCCTGGACATGCAGAAGGGTTCACTGGTACAACCCAGAGTGTCACTGAGCCTGTACACAGTGGCACCCGGCTTCTCCTCTTTCGGTGCGGGTAGAGCAGGAGAGAAGGACATTTCCAGGTGGAGGCCAGGATAAGGCCTGGGGAGTCAGGCATCGATATGAGAAATGCTGGTGCCATTCGGCTGCTCTCTGGATTGTCCCGAAGTCTTGGCATGTAGGTATATGCAGCCACTTTGCAAAGGACATTAAGTTCCACCTAACATCTTTATTTTCTTAAACAAATTTCCCCCAGGGCCAATTTCCAATCAAGTTTAATCTGGTGTCTAAAGGTATAAAGCCCATAGCGCAGAGTCATTAGGTGTAAAATATTCAGGCCTGTGTGGACATGGCCCTGGCTGCCAGCCACGATGTGGCCCCGCTGACCCGGGTCGTGGCACTCTGACAGGCTGCATTTTCCAGCTGCTACTTGTAGCTCTGGAAATGAGTGCTTCCATCCGTGACAGGGAGAGAGGTTCTGCCAGAGAAGCGGAGATGCGCCATTCGGGTGTCTGGGTTGGGGTTTTTAACAGGGAGGAAAAATGGCTTAATGAATAATGAAAGCTTTGCAGTCACGTGGCTCTTCCTGGTGCCTGAATCTTCCACCCCAGCCAAGAAAGAGTAGAGTCAGGGGTGGGAGCTCAGAGTCCACACTGTCTTGCTGTATCTTCTTGGCATGGGCCAGATGTTAGGGCTGAGGACCTTATCCACATGGGGGTTGAAAGTAGGATCTAGACAGACCTCCAGGATTTTCTTTTTTGGGTCTCATTCTTGTTGCTCTCAGTTCCGCCTTTTTACGGCACAGTGATTTCACTTTGGCTTTAGAATTAATTAACATAGAGTGTGCCTGGTACCTGGTTACTCGAGACCCTGCACTGTGGTTTTCAGGGTCCTGCTGGAGCCACCCCTCGCAATGCATATTTATCACTCTAGTATCAATACAGGCTCCTCTGTATGATCTGTGGGCTCCGGAGGGTCTTGACAAACAGCTCGTTCCATTAGCGTCTCAGGGACAGCCTGCCCGTGGCTTTCTGCCTCCACGCTGAGCGTCCTACTGGACTTCCTGGGGTATTTCACCTGCCGGAGGGGAGGAGGACGAGGAGAGTGCGGCATGGATATGTTTTTTTGTGCCTTTCGCTTGTGAACATGGGAGCCAGGGGAGCAGGAGAGAGTAATGCTCCTTACATCCCCAGACCCACAGAGGGCCTTTTTGGAGAGAGAACATCAGTGCAATTTTACCAGCATGAATTGAGCAGAGATTCAAAGATAAGTAAGTGTCAGACCTGGCCCCTGGCTCAAGGAGGAGCTGCGATGTGTGAGCCAGGATGCCTCAGTGACAAGGATGTGCACGGAGCATGAGGAGGACCGGCGCTCGGCACCACTAAGCCTGCTTCAGGGTCCCCTGTGGGTACCGAAGTCAGAGATGTTCAGGTCCCTTCTCCAACGGCGTTGTATTTGCACAGACTCTACCCATATCCTCCTTCACACTTAAACTCATCTCCATATTACTTACAATACCTAATATGGTATAAATGCTCTGTAAATGATTATTATGCTGTATGTTTAGATTGAATGTTTACGGAACAATGATGAGAAAAACCTCTGCACATATTCAGTACAGATAAAGTTTTTTTCTGAGGTGGGATCTTGCGTATTTGCACAGACTCTACCCATATCCTCCTTCACACTTAAACTCATCTCCATATTACTTACAATACCTAATATGGTATAAATGCTCTGTAAATGATTATTATGCTGTATGTTTAGATTGAATGTTTACGGAACAATGATGAGAAAAACCTCTGCACATATTCAGTACAGATAAAGTTTTTTTCTGAGATGGGATCTTGCTTTTTTTTTTTTTTTGAGAGAGAGGATCTCACTATGCAGTTCAGGCTATCCTTGAATTCACTAAGTAGCCCAGGCTAGCCTCGAACTAGCAGCGATCCTCCTGTCTCAGGCTCCCAGGTACTGGGACGTGCATCACCATACCTGGCATTTTCCTGAGTATTTTTGTTCTGCAGTTCATTAGATCCGTGAATGCAGAACCTGAGGATAGAGGGTTGTCTGTACACAAAAGAGAGGAAGAATCAATCCAGGAGGCTCCTTAAGAAGGGTGGCACCTGCCCTGATGACCTTTGGAAGTTCACAAAGGGCCAGGGAGTGGGAAAACCAGAGAGAGGGAAAGGAACATCTGGGAGCAGATCATGATTTAGAATAGCTTCCTGTGATGAGAAACCTGTGTAGCTTAGCCAGGTTGGAGCACGTGGCCAGCAATGACTCTGAGGGGGAAGGAGAATTGGCCACAAAGGTGACATGCCCAAACCTTCTTCAGGAGGTACGCAGTCATGGCACAGAGTCCTGTGTCACCGGATCTCCGCCGCAGCTGATTTGGAGGTAAGCAGCCAAATCCATGCAGCTCCAAACAAAGGCAGGGTAGTGTGGATAAAGAAGAGGGATGGCTGTGGGGCCTCAGCAGGACATGGAATTGCACCACGGCTGACTGAGGGATGAGCTAACTAAAGGTAGGATGCAGAGGAGTCAGGACGCTCCGGGAAGGGCCTGCCCTGCCCAGAGCACTGGGCAGTGAGATGATCAGAGGAGGCAGAGGTAGCCAAGGGTAGGAAGGTGGTTCAGTCTGGTGCTTTTGCTGGGCATCCAGGTGGAGATGTCCACTGGGCAGCTGATGCCCGGATCTGGGAGAAAGCCATGGACCAGAAAATCATAGCACAGAGAGCATGGCTAAAACCACAAGCACACAGGTGTCCCCAGCAGGAAGGCGAGGATGTGAAGTAAGGGCAGAGAAGAAAGGCTGGACACCCTGAGGAGAGAAAAGGGAGCCTGTGAAACCCGGAAAAGGACCCATCAGGGAGAGAAGAGGGACATGCAGAAAGAAAGGCCAAGGAAGCCAGGAAAGTAACCATGCAAGAGACAGTTGGGAGGCCCAAGGAGGTTGAGCGGTTTTCCTTGAAATGCCAGTGTTCAGGACACATCACAGCTGTTCTTTTTTTTAATTGACACATAATAATAACACGCTATGATGACTAACTCATTTATGGGGTACCCTGTGATGTTTCCGTGCATGTAGACAGTGTGTAATGATCAGATCAGGGTAACGACCAATCCGTCACCGTATTTACTGGCAGAGACATCCATCTGTGTTATGAACTTGGACCCTCTGAGTTGAGGCGGATTTCCAGGATGCGGTCACTGGCAGACTCCTGCGGCGTCAGCATTCCTCACTGGCCTGAAGCCAGTTCCGTGTCCTCCAAAGTGTCATCCGTTGCCCTGCGGGTCCCCCCACGTGGGCAGCCCCTTTGCAGCAGGTTTGTACAGGCCAAGCCTGGCCCCTCAGGCCCCCCATTCGGTCCCGTGCCTGCCTCTTGCTACGTACGACCCCACATTTTCCCCCCACCCAACTCAACCTTCCCTGCCAAGTCCTTCCAGGCATATTTCCAGGGAGACGCGCATCACCTGGATCTCTCATGCCCAGTGTGGCTCAGACGCCAGCAGAGAAGCTCCTGAGATGGTCTACAAGCTCATGGAGCATTCCACTGTGAGAGCCAGGCCTCCACCAGCCCTGGAATTGCCAGCAGAGCCCTGTATAAATGTATTTCTATTTGGCTCACAGGATGGTAGAAAAGAACAGTTTGAGCCTCTCTGGTTCCAGAGATGACTGCCTGGGTTCTAGTCCCATCTCTGCACTCAGTACCTGGGCAAGTCCCTTATGAACCTCTTGGGCCTCGGCTTCTTCACCTATAACAGGAGAGGGCTGTAGTGAGAACCAGAAGAATTAAAACAGTGCACTTACAACTTGGAGCCCCCTAGTAAAAGTTGCCTGTGTTATTGTTATTAGTATTGGTGGCGACTACACCTAACCCCCACAGTCTTCCATCCCTTGCCCCTTGCTCAGCTCTGCAGCCCGATGAGAAACGAGAAACCAGGGCACTGCGAACTGCTAGGATGGACGAGACTCCAGGCAGCCTCCTGAGAATGGGCCTTTATTTTTATGAATTAGAAAGTCGGTGCTCCCAGCCACCCCAGCTGCTACTGGTCCTGGGAAGGGAATGGTGGGTAATAGATTAAGAACCCTCTTGGGAGTTAGTGAGGTCCAAGCCTGGAGAGCCCTCCTAACCAGGTGATGAATGTGGCTCCCTGCCACCTCCACCTGCTGCCTTCCCGCTTCTGTGCGATGCTCTCTCTTCCCCAGCCACCTCTCTCTCTTTGTGTCATTCGCTCGCCAGCATTTCTCTTGCTTAATGGTGGGGAGCTGGAGTACAGCTTCTCATTAACTTTTATCCTCCCCATAAACGGCCTGCTTAACTCACAATGACAATTGTTCCGCTCACTTCCCGGGGGGTTTCTCCGCCATGTGGCTCCCAGCCAGCCAGTTCTTGCTGCCTCTCAGCCCACCAAAGCCTGCCTGCTCTGGGCCCTGCTGTGTGTAAGGGGGAGGGAGCCAGCTTGTACATTTTATTTACTTTTTTCTTTTTTGGGCAAGTGAAAGCTTCAGGCATTAGCTCTAGAGATTCTGGAGGAAGCTAAGGCTTAGGGAGCTGTGCCCAGGGATTAAAAAGCCTGGAATGTCAGATGTGGTGGCACACACTGATAATCCCAGTGCTCTAGGAGGCTGAAGTAGGGAGTTCAAAGCCAGCCTGGGGAACTTAGCTGCTTGGCAAGGCCTTGTGTCAGAAAGAAGCTGGGGATGTAGCTCAGTGAGAAGGCCCTGGGTTCGATCCCCAGTACTCCCTCAAAAAAATCCTAGAGAAGGGCCAAAAGTGCAGGGCAGGCTGGCCTCTGGGAGGGCTAGTAGCCAAGGCCCTCAGATGCTGAGAGTGAGCAGACATGAAGAACTGAGTGGCCCAGGGAAGGCACTCCAGGAGGATTGCTAGTGTCCTTGAACCAGGGCTGCTTTCCAGGGGACGGTGAGCGGTTGGTCTGGCAATGGGCAATGCTAGAGGACACATTAATTAACCTTAAGGGTGCCTTAAAGGATCTATGCCCCCAATCAGCAGGTGACCTTGAGTAAGAACTTCGTCCCCGAGCGTGGATTCTGCCTGGCCTCCCTGCCTCTATTCTGTCGCCCACCTTGGAGGACAAAATCCAGTCTGATCTTGTTACATTACACTACTGTTTTAACACCTCCTGTGGCTCCCTCTTGCCCTCAGGCCTATAAGTCTCTGCCACTCCCATCCCTGCCCACCTCCCAGCCCTGTCACTCCAGAGCCCCGGCCTCCTCTTGCTCCCCAGATGTGCCAGCCTCTTGCCTGTGGACATCGACAATGCTGTTCCCTGTTTAGGATGTCAACTCTGTCTTTACCTTGCTGATTCTCCCCTTTGGGCTCAGCTTGAGGGCCAGCTCCTCTGGGAGCCTCCTTGACCTGGTCACAGGTGCCCAACCTCCTGGATGCCAACCCAAAGGCAGGGATAGGTCAGCTGTGGTTCCTTCACCACCCTACCAGTGCCCCACCCTGCCTAGCCTGGACCCAGGGCTGGGCTGGAGACAGAGCAGGGAGCTCCGCTTCAGGACTCCAGGGGCCCTGTGGGCAAGGTGAGGGGGGACGTTTCTCTCTGGCCTCACAGAGAATGGATGGCTCAAGCTCCAAAAATAGTGACACTCTTGCTGAGAAGCTGCCAGCTGCCTGGGAGCCTGCAAAATTCTGTGTGTTGGGGGTGGGTCAGGACGGGGACATTGGTATCAGGTGTGGCTGATACAGGAGCTCCGAGGCCGCATCTATGCCCATGATCTATCTAATGGCTCCTCGCCGAGAGACGCACACTGCTAGGGTCCAGCAGGTGCTGCAGCATTTTCACCTAGCGCTCTGGAGCATAGGGGTGCAGGGATGGGTCTTGAAAACTGGGTTTGAATTCAGTATCTGGTTAGCCCAAAGAGCTACCCCCAGCCCAGGGGATACTCGGGGAGCAGGTGTGTGCTCATGACTTGACAGGTGTGCATGGTCCCGGATGATGTTCCTCCCTCGCTCCCTCTCTCCCCTCCTCCCTCCCTCCTTCCCTCTCTGAGAGCTCTGATTCTGGAGAATCCTTGGATTCTTGGGGCTCTGCTGTCCTGAACAAGTTCCTCACCCTCTCTGAGCCTTGGCTTCTGCACCAGTGTGATGGGTTTGTAGGAACTCCTGCTTCTTATTTTATTTTTGAGGCATACATGAGAAAGTGGAAGCCAGGTGTGGTAGCACAAGCTTTTAATCCCAGCCCACCGGGAGACGGAGGCAGAAGGATCAAAAGTGTCATCCCAGACTAGGCAACTTAGTGACTTAGCAAGATCAAAATAATATAATAAAAGGGGGGGGCGCCGAGGGTGTAGCTCAGTGCAAAGGCCCTAGGTTCTATTCCCAGAACTGCAAAAAAGAAAGCAGAAATGGAAAGAGTTTAGTGCAGGGATTTGCAGGGAGTTCAGTGCATGACTCAAGTCAGGCCTTATTAGTAGTAATGGGCTAAGGGGAAAAAAGGTCACTTTGCTGGGCCTTCTAGAGTCAGGGACACTGCTCACTGTGCCAGTCACAATATCCTGGGCACGAGAGAGCAAGGAGGAGCTCGTGTGATAAGGGGACAGACCTGGCTCACTCTCTTCTGGAGTAGACCGGCTGCCTCTTTGTCACTCTTTGTCAGAGTGGGGCTGATTATAATAACAGCTGACATTTTCAGTGATTTGCCGTGTACCTTGCATGGTGACCTTTAAAGACTGCCTTAACTTGTTTCACTCTCAAACAGCCCTCAGGGCTTCTCTCCATTTGCTGTCGCCATTTCACAGATGAGAAAAATAAGGCAGAGCAAGGTTAATTTACCAGCGAGGAGGTAATAACAGAGCTAAGACTCAAACCCTAATAGAAAATATAATTTCCAAACCTACCTCCTCTGTGTTGCCCACCAGAAGAGTAATAGGTATCATCTCAGCTAGTAATCTCTGAATGGAGTGTTGTGTTGAGAATGCGGACTGTGACAAGAATAGTGAGAGTATTAGCAATGTCTACCATGGACCCGGGAAGGCAGTGCTCAGCCTCTTATTCACCAAGAACCAGGGCATTCATGACAGTGAGACCAGGGCCAAAGGGGTGGCTGTCCTGTGTACTTGGCCTCTGCCCACTGGTTGCCAGGAATACCTGGAAGGTAAAGCGCCCCCTGGTGGAGACCCCTTGCACAGACCGGACAGCAGTGAGTGAGCAAAAGAGCGCTGAACTTGGGGTCCAGAGCAGCAGCTCAGGCTTGACCGTGCCTCCGACCAGCCTGTCACCATGGAAATGGCCTTTCACCTCTCCGGGCCTCCGGTTCGGAATGGAGAAAGCAAACAAGATGAAGTAGATGGTCCCCAGGGTCCCCTCTAGAAGTTTATGATTCTCCCTCCCTTACCCAGGCACTTGCGTAAACTCTCAGGTTACTGGAGCGTAACTTTCCAGAGATCTGCAGACACAAACCAGCAGAAGAGTCTGGAATCTGCAGAGAGCCGTTTTGCCCCTTGGAGCTTCATATTTGCTCCTCATTAAGAAAAGAAAAGAAAAAAAAAAAAAAACAGCCCTTGATACTGAGGTTTCATGCAAGCAGGAGGCACCTAGCAGAGGCAAGGAGAGAAATCAGAGACAATAATGGAACACTCATTTCCCCGTGTTAGGGGAGAAGAGAAGCTACTGGTTGGGAAAATCTCCCTGGCTCTGTTCAATTATGAATCTCGGCAGGAAGCCTGGAAAATCCCAGCTTCTCTAGAGCCAAGCATCATCGTCAGAGGCATGAGGCTGGTGCTGTGCATTCTTGAAGGCCTCGCTGAGGGAGAGGAGGGGTGGCCAGAGAGCGGGCCCAGGGTCAGGAGCCCGGCCGGAGCAGCAGGGTCTCTGGGACCTGAGAGTCATCCTTGGGAATCCTCTGGCTGTGGGTGTTTCCTGATGCGGCAGCTCTAGGGCAGGAAGATGGAAGAGAAGCCTCACCCTCCCAGCCACAGAGTCTTGCTTCCTGCTTCCTAAGAGCAACTCTGTGAGGTCCACGGATGTCCTTACATTAGGGACAAAGAGACTGGCATTAGCTCTAGAGATTCTGGAGGAAGCTAAGGCTTAGAGAGCTGTGCCCAGGGATTAAAAAGCCTGGAGAGTCAGATGTGCTTATGTGAGATTAGCTGACTGCCCAGTAGGTAACACAGGTCACACGGCTCCTCTGTGATGGCACCGGCACTGGCCTTCAGCCTTCCCCGATACGGCATCCTTCTCTCCCCTGAGCTCTGTGGTCTCTTGGGAGCCTGTGCTCATCGTGTTCCTGTCAGGCAAAAGCATTGCACCCCACCCTGGGGAGCGAAGTGGAGCTGCAGAGTGGAATCTCCTTGGCC